CACCTTCTTGAGCCTCTAACTCGAAACCCTAGCCTCCTCTCACTTATTTTGATCATTGGCATCATTTATGAGCTTATTTCTCCATTAGAAGGTGGAATCTTCAAGAACAAGGTGGTGGAAAAGTCTATGGAAGAAGGATTCAAGCATAGACCCACCAAGATCACAACATTTTTGGACCATTGTGAGTAAAAAGCTTCAACCTTGCTCATTAGTTTCATAGATCTTGTTAATTTTCATATTTGTCACTTTTTGGTCACTTTAGTGCATAAAGTTTAGATCTTGAAAGTTTGTGATCTTGTTATGGATAAAGTTGGAAGCTTTATCCATCTAAACATCATATTGATTCAGATCTGAAGGTTGAAGATTTGGACTTAATGGATTAAGTTAAGAAAAATGCATTTTTGGTCCCTTTTGAGACTTAAAAACTAGATCATGTTTGTTTGGACCATTAAAATGGATAAAGTTGGAAACTTTATCCATTATAAAGCTATTTGGAACCAGATATGATGTTATGAGTTTTGATCTTTATGGTTTAAGATCTTATTGAAGAAAAGATTTTCAGACTGAAGGTCACGGCGTGACCTTTGGTTGCTATGACGTGGCAATTGAGGATTTATCGTCATATTTTGTCTTTTTTCCCCAAAGTCAAGATGTTACACACAAATACATATTTGGAATCAGGATTAAACATCGAAGTTCAAGCAACTCAAATGTTTTCCATGAATGTTTTTTTATATTCATTTGGAGATCATGGTATCATTGGTTACATTCATGTCATTAAGATTAGAAAAATCAGATGGATCGACAAAATTCATAATAAAAGACACAGAAAAATATCTAAAACATATCGAATAATTTGAAGTATGTTATTTATTAAAATTAGAGTAAATTAAATGAATGGTCCTTTGGTTTGGGGTAATCTATTGTTTGGTCTTTAACTCCTTTTAACTAGGACTACTCATATGGTTTGGTTTGGTTTGGTTTGGTTTTGAGTTTAGATCATACCATGTCGAAAATATTTTTATACCCTTATGTATTTATATCTTTTATTTATTATTTAATTTATTGGTACCACCAATATTACCCCCACCCCACCATTCAATGTTTAAAGATCCAACAACCACGACTGGCACCCTCATTCACCTTCAGTAACAACCACTAGTCATATATGAAAACCACCACTAATGAGCAAAAGAAAAGCTAATGAAATCAACCTTTATGTTTCCTTTCATAATGATGTGATGTTTATTGGCGATTGGTCCTCGATTAAGATTATTAACCATATTAGGATCCTTTGATGTTTCCATCTTGCATCCACTTTAAAGTTAAATTTTTCAAAAGCAAATTCTTTTGTATTTGTGTTGATAACCAAGATATTTCTCGATCAATCAATCTTCTTAATTATGAAGCCACTTATGTTCCATTTATATATATTGGTCTACTAGTCAAATCTAGCATGAAGTTGCCCTTAATCGATCTCACATTATCGACCGATTAAATGTTATACTTAATAATTGGAAATCAAACTCTTTCTTTTGGTATACATCTCTCATAAAGTTTCACTTTCTATTAATTCATCCAAGAATTAGGTTTGGAATAGTTCTTTCTTGGTTCAGTTAGAGCTTGACTAAAGTACGTTGCTTCACTTGAAGTATGTTCAATAATCATATTATTTTATCTCCAATTTTAAGGCACAAAGGAGTCACTATGCGATCAATTTATTTTGTTTTATATATTGTTGAAGGAGACTGTTGACCATGTTTTCATTAGTTGTTTGAACGTCTTTGAAATTTGGAATTGTGTTCTTTCCTGGTGCGATTGGATTTAGGGCATCATTTTCGCTCCAACAACTATTCTTTAACCTTGTCGTCCCCTCACACAACTAAAAAGTCAGGTTTCTTCATGCCTTGGTCTACTCGATTTTTTGGTTGTTTGATAAATGAGGAATAATACACTACTACTAAAAAAGGTGAAGATTTTTGTCGATCAAAAATGACGGATGAAATTTAACTTAATTTGTTTATTTGGATACATAGAGCAAATATGTATAGCTTAGATTGGACATAATGGTATTGTTCCATTAGAGGTTCATATTTTTCTTATGTCACAAGTAGATATCTATAAACGATCATGTCTCTAACCAACGATGGTGGAATCAGGGGATTCATTGATATTGATGTGGTGTTTTGCCCATGCTAACATGCTCTAGTTTTTCTAATCTTTGTAACATATTGCTAGTTATCTTTTTTTGTCTTTCCGCTCATATATCTAATTATCTTGTTACATTTATCTCGTATAATATTTAAATATGGTAGTGACTAGTGACAATTGTAAAGTACATCTATAAATACCATAAATAATTGTGTTATAATTACCTTTTTAGACAACCGTGTTTGTAAATTTGGAGGTGGTCAACAAAGCCAAAACAATGACGAATCCCATTAAAACCAATTTATTACACCCTAACCAACTTTTTCCACTTAATATTTTAAAAAGGCTTTTTTTATTGTTATTTTTTATACATTGATGGTGTCAATTATATCAAGGATGTACTAGATCATTATTTGTTTTATGACTTATTAAACAATATTTTATATAATTGTTATGTATGATTTATGTAATGATATTATTAAAGTATGCTTATGTATATTACTCGTGATTAAGAGGATGCTTAAATTGTTTTGAAAATGAATTTATACTAATTATTTACAATCTAAAATTGTAATAAGAAGTCTTTATTTCATGAAAACATATTTTTTTACAACATTCTTGTTTTTAGACTATTTATTTAGTGGTATGGTTCTTACTATTAAAAAAAACACCATTTATATAAAATATATATTTTAGATTTATATGATAACTACAATAATATTATATCTTATATAAATAAATAAATTTTTAAATAAAAAATCACCACTTATTTATCTAACGACAACTAAAATCTTTACAACTTACCATACAATCAATTTATTACTAATTATATAAAGAGCCCAACATTAAATAATAATAAAATGTATTTAAACACTATCTTATATAACTTGTACTTTAGCAATTGTGAGAGTGACATTAGTAAAAGTGAGAACCACTTTTCGATATTTAAAAAGGGAGTTTAAAGGATCTGCTTTGAATAATCAAAGTTGTGGACCATTATACTGCCAACATTTTCAATCCCTTTTGCCAACTATCTAACTCCGATTTTTTAACCACATCTGCAACCTTGGTATGATAAAAAAGATGTTAAGAGCTTTAAAGATATTTACTTATAAATCAACCAATTTGTACTGTAATATATATTAAAGGGTTCAAACGTATAAATAAAAATAGTTACTCTTAATTAATAGATTACACATGAGTTAAACAAGGAAAAGTTATTAAAAAAATATATCAGAATTTATATAACATCCTAAATAGTTTCATTTAGAATAATTAGATTTTATTATAATAATAAGCTATAATGATTATATCTTGTATAATAATTATTTATAAAATTTAGAAAGTACTTGTAAAAAAATGGTTGCAAGTCAAGCGTGCAAAAAGATAGTTTAAAAATAAGATAGAAAGTGTTTACTGTTCTAATAAAAATATAAAATATTGATAAAAAATTATCCATAATATGTGTTTCATATAATAATGAAATTCCACTAACTATATTACTAACTATTATAATAACATGATGTCTTTGATAAATTTTAAAAGGTTAATCTTTTACAAAACTACAAATATATTGATCACAACTATTATTTGCTTTTCAATTATGAAATTAGATATCTTCTTATCTATTTTCTTTATACATTTAAGATTGTGATGTTTATTATATTTAATGTGATTAATAATTTTTTTTACATTTGTCATCATCAGTGATAGAAGAATATATAGAAAGAATAAATAAAAGGATATTTAATTTCTCATAAGTATGTCTATTTAACACTCTAATTGTTATGTTCTGGTCATAAAATATAGTAAAGTTACCATTTTTAACAATGATGTGTAGGGAGTGTTTGAGAAAAGTACTTGGTAGCGAATAGCTGGTAATGGGTAGCGAATAGCTGGTAGCTAGAAGCTGTAACTTTTATTTGTTATATAAGTGTTTGACAAAAAAAAGTTGGAAACTTTTGAAATATGTAAAATTAAAAGAACAATTGTTTAATACTAGGGCAATTCTGAAAATTGGTTTAAAAAACTCAGTATCGTTTTGTTAAACGCTACGTGAAATAACTTTTATATTTGAAGCGTTTTGTTTAAATTAATGCGTTTTATCAAAAGTTATAAACTAGAAGCTCCTAAACGCTTCATGTCAAATACGTCCGTAGTGTTTTTTATACCTTTTAGATGTTAATTTTTTTTTTAAAACATAGAAAAGGTCTTTAAGAAAATACAAAATTAAACCTTTTATTTTAGAAAAAAAAATCATAAACTAAAAATACTTTATTATCTTTAGATTTTAGTTTTTGTTTAAAAACTTACAATTAGTTTTCCAAAAATTTCTATACAAAAAAAATTACAACTTCTAATTTTTGCTATACAATCAATTTTTGTCATACTCAATGTCTTGAATCATAATCATATGTTTATTTGTACCGTTTTTTCCCACTTGTATCATGTGTTGTCTTTTTTTATTTAGGTCTAGGGTTCATGTCTTATTTGAAACATAAATACAATTAAAAATAATTTAGAAATATATTAAATTTAACCTTAAAAAATAATAAATAATAAATAAATATTATGAACAATATAATTGACTTTTACCCGCAATAATTACAAAATGTAATCTATAATCGAACACCTTAATTAAATATATTTTCAATCATATATCACATTTATTCAAAACAAAACAAATTGTTCAATAGCATATAAATTTTAAATAAAAACATTTTAATGATGTAATATAACAATATATACATAAAAATATAATAAGATTTAGACAATAATAGGTTAAATTCACCAAATCAAATATTTTTTTGGACGGATGCTGATCAGCTATACACACGGCCATCTGTATGTATATGTAGAAAGAGAAAATTGTTGGAGTGATTGATGAGTGAGAGAGAGAGAGAAGAGAGAGAAAGTAGCAGCAGAGATTTTGAGCTTAGCTACAGTCAACGTGCCCCACCGTACCGGATCTTTGACAACCCTCTTCACTCTCGGCGAACCGCTCGATAAACCACCGGAAAATCTCATTTTCCGACGATCTCCACCGCCGGAGAAGATCACATCTTTGTTTTCAATTTCCTTCGGCATTCATGAATGTCAGAGGGTTTTGATACTCTGCGAGACCTTTCTGTCTCTAGATTCATCGTCTTTTCTCTCTAGGAAAAGCTTTATGGAGTATCTCTTTGTCTAATTGTCTCTCCTTTTTACCTCCATTTTTTTATTCTTAAAAACTTTTTCTCTCTCCCTTTCGTCAACCGTAGGAACTGAAAGAAAGGCTAGAGAGAGAGAGAGTGAAAACGATTGCTGCTCCTTTCTTTCGTTTCTCAGAATCGAGATTTCAGAGGTTTTGTGATCAATTCAAGGTATGACCAATGTGTTTCGCATCATAAATCTTGGTGAATCCCTAATTTTACTGCTCAATTTTGCATTGCCATTTTTGTTTACAATTGATGAAAATGTCAATGCGCATGAAGAACGAGGTTTTTCGTCTTGAAAGATCGTAGTCATGGGGAGTAATTTTGTTGTATTATTGGTGCTGTCGTTGTTGTTCCACAGTACATTTGAACAACAGCAACAACCACCATCAGTTCCAACCAGATTTAGGGCAGAACGAGCAGCTCTGCTTCAACTCAGATCATCATTAGGGTTAAGATCACAACAATGGCCGATAAAATCTATTCCGTGTTTCAATTGGGTCGGAATCTCATGCCAGAACGGTAGTGTTACCGGAATCAACATTTCAGGGTTTAAGCGAACACGAGCTGGAAGAAAAAACCCTCAATTTGCAGTCGATTCACTTGCGAATTTAACCAATTTGGTGTCCTTCAACGCTTCTCGATTCACTCTACCTGGTTCAATCCCTAACGGATTAGGGCTTCAGCTTCAAACGCTTCAAGTTCTTGATCTTAGATTCTGTCAAATCTCCGGTGCAATTCCTTCTACTCTCGGGAACTTATCTAATCTTCATGAATTATATCTATCAGATAACTCTCTCACAGGCACCATTCCATCAACTTTAGGTCAATTATCGAATCTTTCAGTTCTTGATCTGTCCAGAAACTCCCTCACCGGATTAATCCCTTCATCATTCGGATCATTATCCAATCTCTCTTCACTCGACATGTCTCTAAACTACTTATCAGGAATCATCCCAGAAGCTTTCGGCAACCTCCCAAATCTTTCCTTCCTAAATCTTTCTGGTAACAGCCTTTCGTCTCCCATCCCCACACAATTTGCCAACATCACCACATTAACTGTTCTTGATCTGAGCTCCAATACCTTCTCCGGAGAACTACCATCAGAGCTCACAAGATTAAACAACCTGCAGAGATTATCACTCGGGAACAATTTACTTTCGGGTAACTTATCAAGCAATTTGCTTTCACTTCCTAGATTGATTTTCCTCGATGTTTCTGACAACAATCTCACTGGTTCTTTACCTAATCTTGATTTCAACCCTAATGTCACATCCGGGATGTTAAATCTTTCCCATAACATGTTCTATGGTGGGATCACTTCCATTTTAAGAAAATTCAATTCAGTGGACCTTTCATACAATTACTTCATGGGAACAGTTCCAAATTATGAAAGATTCACAATTTTAACAAAAAACTGTCTCAGAAACGCGACAACTCAGCGAACTGTTCGACAATGTGCAACATTCTATTCGCTTATCGGACTCCCATTTGACAATTTCGGCCTCCCGAATGGCACTCTACCGCCACCGGAAACCGCCAGTAAAACCAACAAACGGTGGATCATACTGGCGGCGGTTTTGGGCGGTGTTGGCATCCTCGTCCTCCTTGCAATCATCATGATACTGGTGGTTGTATGTTGCCGGAAAAGACGCGCCGCTAGTCCGAGAAGAACCGGGGTGGGCCCCGCTCCGGCCGCCACCACCGCCGCCGCACCGCCGCCTTCCGGGGTGGATTTTTCCAGTCTGGGAGAATCTTTCACTTACCAGCAGATTGTTGCAGCCACTGGTGATTTCAGTGATGAGAATTTGATAAAAAATGGACATTCGGGTGATCTTTTTAGGGGTGTTCTTGAAGGTGGGATACAAATAATTGTGAAAAGATTTGACTTGGAGTCAACAAAAGATGGGTATATGATGGAATTGGATTTATTTAGCAAGATTTCACATCCCCGATTGGTGCCACTTTTGGGGCATTGTTTGGAGGGCGAAAATGGAAAGTTTTTGATTTATAAATACATGCCAAATGGCGACTTATCAGGTGCTTTGTATAGAAAAAGTGATTCAGATGATGATAGTTTACAGTCGTTGGATTGGATCACAAGATTGAAGATTGCATTAGGGGCAGCTGAAGGACTTTCTTACCTTCATCATGAATGTACTCCACCTCTTGTTCACAGGTATAACCAAAAATATATATGTATTTCAATCATAAAAATTAAAGATCATATATTTGACCTTTTAATGTGTTTTATACAAGGTTACATGTAATGGTGTGTTGATTTTAATTTTAATTTTTGTTTTTGGTGATTGAAGAGATGTTCAAGCAAGCAGTATACTTCTTGATGATAAATATGAGGTGAGATTAGGGAGTTTAAGTGAAGTTTGTCCTCAAGAAGGAGAAAGTCATTCAAATCGTTTCACAAGGATGCTAAGATTACCACAGTAAGTTTTTTTTTTAATCTCATTAACCGTATTATGATATTTCTTTTATTAGAATCTAGAAAAGTATCTTTTTATATGCCGAATGGAGTTTTTTTATGTTTAGGGTATGATGTGATATCAAGATCTTTATTTAGAAACTTCTTGTTTAAAGTAAACAATTTGTTTATGTTTATGTATCGTTTAAGGAAACGTATAAAAGTATGCAACTTTAAAAGAACTTTCCTCCTAAAGTAGAAAACTAGATATCACATTTTTATATCAAAAATCCACGATTATAATTTATACACAAAGTTTGATTATATGATTATATCATTTTTTGTACGAGTTTTATATATGAATTCTCATCTCCTTGCCCTAATGTTTTAGGGTTGAGGTTTGCGCAATAACTTGTTGAATAAAAAAATGAAACGTTTATTATTGCAATATTTTATTTAATTTTAGATTTTAACCGAAAATTTTCTCTTCGTTTCATGCAGGACATCCGAACAAGGTGCTTCCGGTAAGTTTCTTGATTTTTTTTTTTTCATTTTGCAATATTTTCTTAGCAAGAAATAACAATCTAGTTTTATTTTTATTTTTACTACATCATTGAAAGTACAATTCTATAATTGGTAGATTTTATAATAAGAAAAAAAGAAATTCTAAAAAAGTTTTGTTTGTTTAGGTGTGGGGACCGCGACATGTGCGTATGACGTGTACTGTTTTGGGAAAGTATTGCTTGAGCTAGTAACGGGCAAAATGGGAATTAGTGCAACAAATGATCCAACAACAAACACAAAAGATTTACTAGAAACAATCCTTCCATACATCAACATATACGATAAAGAACTTGTGACCAACATTGTGGACCCCTCGTTAATCATAGATGAAGATTTGCTCGAAGAGGTGTGGGCCATGGCGGTGGTGGCTCGATCTTGTCTCAACCCTAAGCCCGCCAGACGGCCGCTAATGAGATACATTTTGAAAGCTTTGGAGAATCCATTGAAGGTGGTGAGAGAAGAAAGTGGAAGCTCCGCTAGGTTGAGGACACCCTCTTCTAGAGGGTCGTGGAATGCCGCTTTGTTTAGTAGCTGGCGGAATAGCTCCACCGAGATGGCGGCGGTAGTGGCGGGGCCGAGTAGTTTGAAACAGTCCGGGACCACCGGGTCTCAGTCTCAGGGAAGCGGCGGCGGAGGTGGTGGTTATAATGGTGGTGGTGGTGGTGGGGATTCGAAGAGGTCGAAGGATGTGTTTCCTGAGCCGTTGGATGTGCAAGATGAGGAGAGATCCAACGGTGGGTATTGATGTGGATGATTATATAGAAAAGAGATGATTTGTTTTTTCTTTTTTTCTTTTTTTAAATTGGGTATACAAGAGATAGAAGTTATAACATTTGTTTTTGGTTTTTTTTTTTTTTGGTTTTGTTTGTTGTTGAAGGGTCAAGGGGGGCTTGTTTTGTTGTTTATGGGTGGAAGGAAGCAAGCGATTTTTGTTTGTAATTGGTGGTTTTTGGTTGGGATCTTGTGGAATTGTAAATTGTAATGGATTTTGTTTTGAGCCATTTTTTGGTGAGAAACAAATTGACATAATTACCGGTTTTTCTTTTCTTTCTTCCTTGTTTGTTACACACTTCATGACATAACAGGTATCATGACATAACAGGTATCTAATGACATGCATCCAATTGAGACTGATATACAGGTTGTATTATACCCGTATTTGATATGCATACTATACCCGTATTTGATATGCATCGAACTGAGACTAGTATATGACATTATCATGTGACATGCATCGAACTGAGACCGATATATGTCATATGACATGACAAGTTGTTGTATTTGTATCTGATATGCATCGAAATGAGACTGGTACATGACATAATAGGTTTTACTATGTATGCATCGAAGTTTGACACATAACATGACATGCATGAGATTGAGACTAGTACATGACATAACAGGTTTTAGACATGCATCGGACAGGTTTTAGACATGCATCGGACTGAAACTGATTTTAAATAGCAAAAAATTGAATTTTGAGATGGGATTTGGGATCTCGTTCTTGATTTGTGTGCTAAAGACATAAATACCATTTTTCATCTTTTAACATTGAACTAGTCTCTATAAGCTTACAGAAGAGAAACACAACAAATTTATTACTTTCCATACATAAATAAAAAAAACACAAATATTTCCATTATCGCCCTTGCCAACCAGATATCGACTTTGAAACTCGAAGGATTGAATTCTGGTTCTTCTCCAATCTGGTTTCAGTATGTGTTAGTATATGTATATATGTATATATGTATATGTATACACATACTAGAGAAAGAGAGAGAAAGAGAGATGACCCAGATATGTCGTTGACTGCTTTGACAATTTCAGAAGAGTTCATTTCAACAACTTGACCTCCCAAAATAATTTCATCAAGGATAGTATGTACCTGAAATTAAATTTCATTATTATTTTTTTTTATTGTTTTTGGTTTTAATAAATGATAATAAACACTCATTCTCAAGGTATGAGTGAAGGAAAAAAGATTTAACCTTGTTGAAATTGAAGACTATATCGAGCTCACAGACATTACTGAAACATTTGTCTAATGTCTCCACAAATACTGAAATTCAAGACATTGAAGAAACATTGTAAGTTTATTAAAAAGGATAATGTTGTCTTTTTTTTATTTAATTTGAAAGGAGCTAGTAATTTAAGATATATACCTTGCATAAGATCAAGAATTGCAAGCTCATTTTCAGAATCATCAAATATGACAATGAAGTACAATGTAGCAAAAGTCTTGTATACAAGTCGCGTATCCTACAAGAAGAAAGGATTATTATTTGATTATATGATAAAGATTTTACCTAACAATAATATGATCAAATACATTCCTTGTATACTGAAATTTTCAGCCTAATTGTGAATCCTAATGAATACATAAAAGACTCAAAAAAAAAAAAAAACCAAAAGAAGCACAACATACCTTTCCAAAAGTAGAATCTGCTTGAACAAAATTGCTCACATTCTCTGCTCTACTACATAGAACTGTAATAAAATTTCAAACAAATTAAACCCCTTCTATACACCAATTCAATTAAACAACTTGGTCATTAGGGCACAAAGTTTTCTGACAAAAGAAGGATCAAATTCATATGATTTGTGAAATCTAGATCGAAGAAGCTAACCAAAGAAACCAAGGTATTGATATTTCCCTAATTAGAAGGCAACAACTTCTAGGTTTACAAAGTCCATGAGATAGATTGTTCACTGATTGCATTATCGCATGTTCATTATTCATGCAATCATGAAAATGAAACTCGAAGTAATATGATTTGGATCTTTTTAGCGTGAACAGAATTGGATCAGCCTAAATATCATATTTTGATTATTTTCTCATTCACATTCACAGCTCAACTAATCAGATATAATAAAATAGTTACTCGTTGAAGAAAATACAAACCTCCATAGATGCTACGAATGATTTCTTGTTGTTTCTCCATAGGCTAACCTTGCATTTCACATCACAATCGATGATCAAGCAATTGGTAAAATCAATCGATTAGTTGCAGTTTTTTTGTTTCTATGTATGGAGACCAAGGGAAATTACAAAACCTGATGGTCGTAGAATTTGACGAGGCGAGGCTTGCCTTCGTCGTTCATTATTATCACCGCTCGTATCATCGCCGGCGATGACTGTTCTTCACTTTCCGACGCTGTGTTTTGTAAAGAAATCCAACGGAAAATTACTTTTTGTAAATCTTAATTCCTAAATCAATTTATCATGTTCAAAATTTGAGCTTTATGGTACTAAAATGAAACATAATCTTGGAGGCTAGAAAAATATATTTTCAATTTCTCTTATAAATAAAATATGATTGATTACTTCAATTAAAATACCTAGCAATAAGTAAATCCATGAAATAATAATAGCTTTTATTGGATATTGGAGAGATATATTTATTTCCTAAACATATTTTATGTAAAATTTCTAGTCGATTTTCACTAGGCCCCGTTTGATACGTATCTTTTCAGGTCCAAACAAATCTTTCTGGCTGAATGGACCGGAAAGACTATTTGATTTGCACAAAAGAAGGGGTCTTTCCCGGTAAGATATGTCTTTCCCAGAAAGCCTCAAAATCATATCTTTCTGGCCGAATGGGCTGGAAAGACAATTATACACCAAACCCCGCCTCTTTCTTTCTTTATTGGATTATTAATTTTTTTAAGTAACTTTTTTTAAATTTATTTTTTATTGAATTATTACTTTTTTTCATCATTCAGCACAGTCAATCAGATTTACAATTAAACAACATGGTTTCTTTCCCAGTCAGAAAACTTTCCCAGACAGCACTTTACCAGACAGCACTTTCCCAGACAGAAATTATCAAACGGGACCTAAATTGTGAATTAGGTTCAAAGGAATGGTGGCAGAAGATGTAGAGCTCCAAATTACTTTGTCATAGTTTTGCCATATAAAAGGGGTGGTGTGTATGTATCATGTATGTGTGAGAGAGTGTGTGTATGTGTGAGAGTATGTTGGAGCGCTAAGTTTGGCATGTCGAGCTCAAGGGTGGTATGCGCCGAGGCATTATTGATGATTTTACTGTCATCAATATATTTAGTGTAGTCATGATCATATTTTGAGTTTCATTTGGTTATATAACAGAAGGTGTGGAATGCACATTCAAATAACTAAAGAGGTCTCGGAAACATGGGGTCTGGGGGCAATGCCCCTTGTAAGATTCCAAGGGGCATTGCCCTTGGTGGGGTCTGGAGGCAGCTCCCGGGTCCAACAGGTTGAGCCCCCCTAACTGATGGGTTTTAGGTACAACAAATAAACTAGAAAACAATTCCTAAGTTCACATGCAACCTACTTTGGATCTATGTTTTAACTATTGAACATACAACTTTGAATTGCAAAACAAGAACCCTAGAGGAGAGAGGCTATTTTCGAAAATAGTAAACTAGGGTTTAGGGTTTACATTACCTTTCAATTGTTATAGCAAACAATTGATATTCCCTTGATCTTGATCTTGATCTTCTTGGAAGCTTAGCACCACAAATGTAATGCCTCTAATGGAATCACACCCAAACTAGCAAGAAGGAAAGTAGAAGAAGAGAGAGGGGAGGGAGTATGCAAAATCTCGGCCTTAGGGTTTCTTCAAAAGAAAGAGTCACCAAAAACATGAACCAGGAGGCTCCTTATATAGCTGAGGGATTTAGGGTTTAAGGGAAACCCTAGTTATCCTTTGCTTAGGGCCTAAGCAAACCCAAGGGCCTTATCCAAGCCCCTATGGACGAAATTATTAGGGTTTCCCCTAAAGATTTCGTCCCACCTCTTCCAAGGGGGTTCTAGAGCCTTCCACTCAACTATTAGATAATTGCAAACTAGTCCCTGCACCTTATAATTAATTCTTTTAACCCAAAATCAATTCTGATTAATTTCTGGCTAACAATTAATTAAACATAATGATTTCTAATTAATATATTATCCATTAACATATTAATAAATCATTTATATATATATATATATATATATATATTTAATTTATTAATCTTATAAATTAATATCTCTCCTTTCATAATTTCCTTGTCCAGTTGCTAGGTTGAGGGCCAACCCAAAAGGACTGTGCTGCTGTCAATTCAAGTACATACCAATTATAGTTATGGGCTTAGACACCTAATCCAACAGTCTCCCACTTGGATAAGTCTGTAACTTAATTGCTAGTATGCCTTTAAATTTGACCAGCAAATTGTAGCTTCCAAAAAGCTGCTGCCGAACTCTGACCCAGTCAGTTATGTGTCCTAAGATAAGTGATCATATAACCCTTCGTTCTGCTTGATATCCCCAGACAAAGACATGGAATATAATCAATCTCTTTGTCCAGAATCTATGTTTCCCGATTCCTGATTTGTGATGATGTAGGACTTCTAATCGAACACATCAATTCAGTCCTGGCTGGGCCCAGCACATAAGTCAACACCAAATCATCGAGGGGCCCACAGATATCGCTTTTCCTATTAGGGCAAAAGGAACGAATAAACATTGACTCATATGCTTGTATCTTTCACTCATCAAATTATGCATGACAATACGTTTTATAACACCAAGTTACTGATGCGTTTTCGTATCACCAATGCACACACCGACTTGTAAATTACAACTCATATATCTTCGTTTCAAGATATAAGATATTATCGTCTCAGTATACTCGTGATGAATTCCATGAAGTAGTAATACTCTGAGCGTGGGTTTATCCAATACTCAAATCTCAATTTCTGAGTACTCATGAACATTGCAGCAATTCTATTGCCATGTCTCTCCTTAGACAATCTGCAATCCAATTCATGACAGTCTTAATTCACTACTTACTTCCAAGAGTACGAGCGACTGTGGAGTTTGAATAATCTCATTATTCAGGAAGTAAAACATGCAAAATGAAACACAATAATAAACAATCGACAAAAGGTAGTAGCCAAACTTATAAATAATACTTTATTATTTAATCACCAAAGGTCAATTACATTTACTTTGTTACAATTTCAAAAAACTAATCTAACTATAAAACTAATATCATCTTTCAGTCCTATGCTCCGAGCATGCTGAATATGCTTAGCCCTACTCAGACCCTTTGTGAGGGGATCTGCTGGGTTATCTTCAGATGACACCCTCTTTACTATAAGATGGCCTTCTTCTACTCTATGTCTGATGAAATGGTACTTTCTGTCGATATGTCTGGTCTTACCATGATCTCTCGGTTCCTTTGTCAAGGCAACCGCTCCTTCATTATCGCAGAACAGTTCCATAGGCTCCTGATGGTTGGAACAACTCCGAGATCCCGATGAAGTTCCTCAACCAAGCTGCTTCTTTCGACGCTTCACTTGCTGCTATGTACTCTGATTCACAAGTAGAATCAGCCACCGTATTTTGCTTGGAACTCTTCCAAGTAACTGCTCCTCCATTCAGTAAAAACACCCAGCCTGACTGAGAACGGAAGTTATCTCATCCGTCTGAAAGCTGGCATCACTGTAACCATCTACTCTCAAAGTATCACTGCCACCAAGCACAAGAACCCAGTCCTTTGTCCTTCGCAAATACTTGAGTATATTCTTAACTGCTATCCAATGAGCTCTACCTGGGTTTCCCTGATAGCGACTGACCATGCTCAAAGCAAATGCCACATCAGGGCGAGTACATGTCATAGCGTACATGATCGATCCGACAGCGGGAAGCATAAGGTACACGACTCATGTCATCTATTTCAACATCTGTACTCGGGCATTGAGTCTTACTCAATTGGTATTGCTCTGGATAGGTAGCTCTCCCTTCTTGGAATTTTCCATACTAAAATTTTAGTACCTTATCCAGTATGTGCTTGACTAAGGTCCAATTAGTCTCTTCTTTCTATCTCTCAATATTCTAATCCCAAGAATATAGGCAGCTTCTCCAAGGTCTTTCATGGCAAAACACTTTCCAAGCCAAGACTTAACTTCTTTCAAGGTTGGAACGTCGTTACCAATGAGTAATATGTCATCGACATACAACACCAGAAAAGTTACTATACTCCCACTAGCTTTGATATACACACAGAACTCATCTTCACTTCTAGAGAAACCAAACTCTTTGACTTTCTCATGGAAGCAAAGATTCCAACTGCGAGATGCTTGTTTCAATCCATAAATGGATTTCTCAAGCTTGCACACTCTATTGGGGAACTTTGCATCAACAAAACCCTCTGGCTGACTCATGTAAACATCTTCAGCCAACTTCCCATTAAGGGGAAAGCAGTTTTGACATCCATCTGCCAGATTTCATAATCATGAAAGGCAGCTATGGCGAGCAATATCCTAATAGATTTAATCTTAGCCACTGGCGAAAAAGTCTCATCATAGTCAACCCCTGGGGTTGAGTGAAACCTTTTGCAACCAGTCGAGCCTTGAATGTATGCACATTCCCATCCATGTCTGTCTTCTTCTTGAAGATCCATTTGCACCCAACTGTCTTGCGACTGGTGCACTATCAACCAAATTCCAAACTTGGTTGTCATACATGGACTTAATCTCGTGTGTCCATTGCCTCTTTCCACTTGGAGCCTCTGGGCCTGCCATTGCTTCCTTATAAGTGACTGGTTCATCTAGTTTACCAGTGTTCTGTCACTTATGAATGTGTCACCATCTGAAGTAATATGAAAACCATACAACTCAGGTGGGCACACTCACCCTAGTGGATCTTCTAAGAGGTATGAGTTATCAATTGGTTCAACAGGAACTGTTTCCTCTGGTTGAGTGCTCGTGTCATCTAAGGTTCCTTCATTGGCTGACTCTTGAATTTCTTCAAGGTCAATAGTGCTCCCACTGTCCTCTTTGAATATGAGCTCTCTTTCAAGAAAGACTCCTCTTCGTGCTACAAAGACCACGTTCTCATAGGCCTGTAGAACAAATATCCAAAAGACTGCTTTGGGTAACAATTGAAAACAATTTCTCACTTCTAGCTGCTAGCTTGTCGTGAGTCTCTCGTCTTACGAAGGCTTCACAACCCCAGACTTTAATATGTGCTAACGAGGGGAACTTTCCCTGTCCACATTTCGTGAGGTGTTTTGGCAACCTTCTTGTAGGGACAAGATTGAGGATATGGGCGGCTGTCTCTAAGCATACCCCCAGAAGTGAATAGGAAGCGAAGCCCGACTCATCATAGAACGAACCATGTCTAAACAAGGTTCGATTGTGCCTCTCAGCTACACCATTTAAACTGTGATACTCCCCGCCTCTATCGGATCTAAGTATCTTTATCTTTCTGCCCAATTGATTTCGACTTCATGCTTAAACTCTTTGAACTTTTCAAAAGTTTCT